GAAAAGAGGCCTTGTACAGTCTTAGTCTCCTTTCAATATCCCGGAGGCATATTGGAGCAATAGCTGTGGTACTGAGTATACTGTAATGTCCATCTTTTTAAAAAAATATATTTTATTGATTTTTTACAGAGAGGAAGGGAGAGGGATAGAGAGTTAGAAGCATCCATGAGAGAGAAACATCGATCAGCTGCCTCCTGCACACCCCGCCCTGGGGATATGCCTGCAACCAAGGCACATGCCCTTGACTGGAATCGAACCCGGGACCCTTCAGTCTATGGGTTTTTTAAATGATAAACAAGGGTCCTAGCAGATACCACGCTGCGGAGATCATACCCACAAGCATTTTGCCGTAAGGATCAAACTTTCAGAGCTGTGTCCTGTGTGAAGATTCATTTAGCTATCAAGATCTTGTTCTCTGTCTTCAGTCCCAGGCCTGAGATTTGCAGTGACATAGGCCCAGCTTACCATCACTGCCAGCACTCATCGAGGTTCCAACTTCCTGGTCAGGGGAAGGGGCAAAGGACTGATTCACACAAACAAACAACTGTTCTGAAGCCACAAGTTTAAGGAACTTTTTGATGAAGGCAGTGAGTCCTCGGGTTCGCTCCACAGCCCACGTCTTCGTTTTCATGATAGGGGTGTCTCCCACAGCCTTTTGCAGGATATCAGTTTTTTTCTTGATGTCACTGGCAGGTTCCTCTGTTTCTGAAAAGACTGCGGAAGAAGTGCCCCCCCCCGCCCCCGCTGCGTGGCTGTTCCTGGGGGGACGTCCGTAGGCCCTTCGCTGCCCGTGGGCTCTGTGCCTGGAGTTGCTGGGCTGGCACGAAGTAAGGGGGCCCAATTCAGCAGTGAGAGTTGGAATTGCCAGCTACCTTCTGTGTTGAGCCTGTAGTCTAAAAAATTGATTTTAGAGAGGAAGGGAGAGGGAGAGGGAGAGGGAGAGGGAGGGAGGGAGAGAGAGAGAGAGAGAGAGAAACAGGAGAGAGAGAGAGAGAGAGAGAGAGAGAGAAACAGGAGAGAGAGAGAGAGAGAGAGAGAGAGAGACATCAGTCTGTTGCCTCCTGAGCTCGCCCCAACCAGGGATCAAACCCAAACCAGGTGTGTGTCCTGACCAGGTTTTGAACCACCGATCTTTCTATGCACCGGGCAATGCTCAGCCCACTGAGCACCCCGGCCAGGGCGTGACTGGCTTCTGTCACTTAGCCTAATTTTTTTTAAGGTTCATCCATGTTGAGCACATATCAGTACTTTATTCCTCTTTGTGGCTGAATAGTATTCCATTGTAAGGAGAGATCACATTTTGTTTTCCCATTTAACAGTTGGTGGACACTGGGTTGATCCACTCAGCTATTATGGATAACGCTGCTGTGAACGTTTGTGTAGGAGTGTGTGTGGGCATCTGCTTCCATTTCTTTGGAGTACATGGCCGAGTGGCATTGCTGGGTTGAATGGTAACTGTGTTTAACCCTTTGAGGAACAGCCAGGCTTTCCCAAATGGCTGCACCATTTTACACCCACTAGCAGATTATGAGAAATTCCAATTTCTCCACAGCCTCACCGACGCTTGTATTACCCATCTCTGTTATCTGGCCATCCCGGTGGGTATGGAGTGGTATCTCATAGTGGTTGTGGATTTCCCTAATGCAGCGGTTCTCAACCTGTGGGTCGGGACCCCTTTGGGGGTCGAACGACCCTTTCACAGGGGTCGCCTAAGACCATCGGAAAACACATATATAATTACATATTGCTTTTGTGATTAATCACTATGCTTTAATTATGTTCAATTTGTAACAATGAAAATACATCCTGCATATCAGATATTTACATTACAATTCATAACAGTAGCAAAATTACAGTTATGAAGTAGCAACGAAAGTAATTTTATGGTTGGGGGTCACCACAACATGAGGAACTGTATTAAAGGGTCGTGGCATGAGGAAGGTTGAGAACCACTGCCCTAAGGTCTACCCATCCGAGGACTTTTTATGAGCTGCTTTTTCATTTGGGGTTGTCTGCCCAATTGTCATTGTCACCTGATGTGGTGATGCCTCTGAGGGATTTGAGGGTGTCCCTTTGCTCTCTGTTTCCCCCAACAGTACAGTAATTCCCTCTGCATTATGATTGGCCACCCAGTCTTTCAAAGCCTTCTTGTGCTGGGCACTGTTCTGGGTACTGGGATACAGAAAAAAAAAAAAAAAAGGCAAGATCTCACCCCGCGGAGAGCTTGGTGGGTAAGGGTATGGCTCTGGATTTGAACGGCCTGGGAAGGTACCTCACTTTGCCTCTCCTCAGTTTCCTCATCTGTGAAATGAGGTTAAATGTAAAGCACTTAGCATAGTGTCTGGCACAGAGTGAGTGCTCAGTAGGCATTTGTTACTGTTAAAGGCGAAGCCAGACAATTAATAAATGGTAACAATAATGAATAACGAGTTCTGATCAGAGAAGGACAAAGTGTCATGGGAACACATAGTGGGGACTCCCAACCCAGTTCAGGTTCTAGTACAGGCTACTCAGGGGAAGCGATGTTTTAAATGGAGAGGTGACAGATGAGCAGGAGTTGGCTGGAGTAAGGCAGTGTTTACGTGTGTGTGTGTGTGTGGGGGGGGTGATTCTGGCAGATGGAACAGCTTGTGCAAAAGCTCAGAGGCAACAGAGGAGAGGCTAAAATGTGTTCAGAATGTCTAGAACAGTGCTGTCCAATAGAATTCTCTATGGACAATGGAAAAGTTCTGCAATATGATAACCACTAGCCAACCACATGTGACTATTGAACATTTGAAAAGTGGCTAATGTGACTGTAAAATTGAATGTTTAATTTTATTTTATTATAATTAATTTGAATTTAAATAGTCACCATGGCTAGTGACCACCATATTGACAGCAAAGGTCTAGAGCAGTGGTTCTCAACCTTGGCTGCACATTAGAATCACCTGGGAATCTTTTTAAAATCCTGATTTCTGGGCCTCACCCTCCGGAAATTCTGTTTCGTTTCTTTGTTATGGGGTGAGTGGTCTCATCCCATAACAAAGAAACAGAATTTCCGGAGAATGAGGGCCAGAAATCAGGATTTTAAAAAGATTCCCAGGTGATTCTCATGTGCAGCCAAGGGTGAGAAGCACTGGTCTAGAGTGTAAGGGGTGCAATGAGAGACCAAGGTGGGGGGATGGGAAGCCCCTCCGAGCTGTGCAGGGCTGTGTGTGGAGGATGCATTTTATTCCAAGCATCTGAGGAAACCGTTGGTTGGGGTGGGGAGTTAAGCGGGAGTGGGGTGATCTGGTTTTACTTTTGGAAGATACTCCAGTTGCTGTAAGGAGAATGGATTATGAGGGTGAGGGTGGGGCAGGAGTGAAGCGGGGAGACCAGTGTGGACGTGGGTGCAGTCTCCCAGGGAGCGATGAATGTGGCTTGGACCAGACACAGAGATACATTTGGTACATTTGTTGTGTGTGTGTGGTGTGTGTGTGTGTGTGTGTGTGTGTGTGTGTGTGTGTAGGGGGAAGGGAGAGAGAGGCCTCCCCTCTTCCTCTCCCTCTTCCCTCTCCCCCTCTCCCCCTCTCTCCCTCTCCTCCCTTCTCCTTTCCCTGGGGCCATCCACATCAGCTCTCTGTCCTGCGATGGGTCAGCCAGTTCGCAGTGGGAGCCACGCGGCTGTCAGGAGGCCCGTGTGGAGGAAGGGGGGGGGGGTG